AGTAGAAGGAGTGGAACCGTGGATACACTACACTCGAGTGAAGAAGGCCCCTTCATGGAAAATCATCAATAGAGATCCAGAGACTGCAAAACTAATTTTAAAATATGTCTAAAAGGAAGGGCTATCATTGTAAAATATGGAAAGAATAAATTCTGGCCTGGAGACTGATGATGATGGGAGCATTGTTTAAAGTATTAAAAGTGAAAACAAGAAGTAAGGATCCACTGTCAATAAAAGTGGAACAGTTAATATACTTCCCTAGAACTCTGGAAGAAAATTGGCTGGACAAAATTTTTAATGGATAGGGGTGGAATCTGAGTTCCTGTGTAAAATCCTTAATTAGCACGGGGCTACATTTGTTAATCATATTTTTAGTGATATTATTTATTATTGTTTAAAAAAGGAACTCGCCAACAAAACAGCTTTCAATCAAATGATTATTCAGGCAGTAACCAAAAGACAAGATTTAAGTGATTCGGTCGCGACGCTCCCACCACCATATAGTGGACAGCGGATAATTGAATTGTTATAGAATCATTATTGACAGTAGAGTATTGAATCAGTGTATAACTAAAATATAATTTAATTTAGGATGGAAGTATTGAAAAAATGGTGATTTCAAAACTTCCAAAGGGGGGAAATGTAACCAGGGTAATAGAATCAGTTAACCATAAACATGAACAATGTTGCTATGTCCCTTGCACAGCCCTATCCACCTGGACATTAGGTCTGGGAACGGAGGGTCTATTCTCTAGGTAACCATTAACGCTAACCGTAGTGGGTAATTGTGTTTCTGTCAAGAGAAATGATGGAGTGTGGTTCTGTGAAGCGGACTGAAGAAACTGACCAGGACTGCCAAGCTTGCGAGCCAGCAGGTAAAAGGTAATTCCGACAGGGGGAGATCGCAACCACCGACTCACAGACCCCCTACTCAAGTAATACCACCTACTCAAAAAGGAACAATAGAAGAGAGTAACTGAGTCTGCGCAACCATTTACGTAAGAAGCGAGAAAAGTTTACACCAATCGCCAAAGAGAATAATACTGAATATGCATGAATAAAATAAATATGTATATTTCTGATCTATATAAACTGCATGAAAAAGGTATGAGGTATGCATATGCATACCTCATGGAATTATCCCCCGTGCATCCAGCGCTGCAATAAAGAATGCCTGCCTTTTAACACTACATTGGTGTTACGAGGTTTTATTCACAGATTTTCGGTGACAATAAGCTTTTAAATGACCTTATCAGCAACTAAGATTCTTGTTAATCAGTAGAGATTACATTCCTTCCATAACTGCTAAGTGACTTAATAAGTTTTTTTACAGCAAAGCTGTGTTTAGGAAGGGCTGTGTTCATTTTGTCATGAAACAACTTTCTGAGTACATTATGCAGTCCTTGAATGTAATTACGACCTGCCCAGACAAAACTCCAAAACATTCTGCTTTTTCCATCTACTCACTTCCTTTTGCTTTTTGCCTCTTGCCACACTGTTCAATGTGCTGTTTTCTCGCAGAGAGTCCACTGTGTCTCCGTACAGGAGTTTGATGGCCCGAACAAGGCGGGCACAGGACCGGCTGTGGTGGAGGTAGCAGTGTGGGTGACAGTAGTCAATGTGGGTACATATGAAACTTTGCTGGTTGCATAATAGGATCATAACCTTGAAAAGAAAAAGAAATAAATTATCTATAGAATATGAGTTATACAGAGAATGGCATAGGGCAGGCAGTGACGGGACCAGTCAAACTAACTTTTCCACAGCCTAGCTGGAGAGGCATGAAGCTCAATATAGCTTTTTGAAAAGGTGTATGTGTCTGTGCAGAGCTCCATACTTGCAAATGATTTACAAACTAGCTAGGCGTGGCTAAAGAAACATCAGTGTTAACAAAGCAAAGAGACAGAGCTGCTGTAGATGTGTATGTTTGGCAAGATTAAGTCTGAGGAAAACGGTATTCTCTCAGTTTGCAGAAAAGCTGTTGCACTGCCACTCTGAGATGAGGGGGGGCTTAGACTAAAAATTGTCAGCTACTCAATCATCATTAAAGCTGCAAACCCACCAGGTTCAGGAGTTAGTTTCCTTCAAGGAAGGGGAAAGGAAATGTCTCAGTATGCTCTCAAGTAGGAATAAACTGTGCCAGTTGTTCTGCATATGCTTCCCTCACTGTTCTTGTGTAGGCCCAAACTAGCTTTATGTTAGCTGGTTCAGTTACTGTTTCTAGCAGTGCTGCCACATGACGGCAAAGAGCTGTAAAATCCATCTAAGAAATAGAGTAAATATTTGGGCATTTAGCTATTCTGAGCCATTCTTTGCTGTATCAACACTGCTATTAGTCCCTAAACTAATTAATTAAAGACAGCCTTGGGTAATTCTACACTTCAGTGACTGCTCTCTGGTGTAACTCAGATGGTTTCTTTCTGGAGTAGCAGAGCTCAGTCCAGCAGCTCTTTGTACATTGGTCTTCATGTCACACACAAACACTTAGCAGCACTCTCAGAAAAACACACAGGCATCCCCATCCACTGTAGGTCATAACTGGCCCTTATGAATCCTTCTCTTCATCCCATAACCTAGTGCAGAAATACCCAGAGCTACCAGAAAGAGGTTATCCCACCTTTTCCATCCATTTATTGTCTGTGCAGCTACAGTCTGCTGGCTCTCTCAAGTAAGGCAGCCACATCACTCTCAACCTTCAAATATTTAGGTTTCCAAGAAGTCAGGACTTTAATTTAAAGCAAACCTGCACTGCATATGTGGGATTCTTGTCTTTGCTTGCCTGTTCTGGCCTCACGTTATTTTGGGTCAACCAGGTATAACTCAAGCCACTACTGTTGTATCAATGTACAAATGGTATAACTCTGATCAGCATTGTATAGCCTCTACCCAGCCTCTGGTCCACTGTTGTTACTTGTAGTAATGGTACACTGACATAGAGTGAGGACATAATGCGTCAGGCTGCCGTAAACGACAGGCAAAGGAAATGCTGCTGCATGCATAGAAGTAACTGGAACCAGAGATCCTGTTGAGTGGTTTTCTCATGATCATTAAATAAAGCAGGTTTTTGGTTTGCCTGTAGTTTTAGTGACCATCCACCCACACTTTCTTTCCAACAAACAAAAAGAGAAAGTTCTCATGTGATATTGATACTTATGTGGCATTAACTGGAACAGGTAATTTTTCGAATCTTCCTTTCTCCTATGCAGGCCAATCACATGTAAAGTGAGACAAACATCTCAAGTTCCCGTCAGTCTTTGACTTGTATTTATGAGTCCATGCGTCCTCCCACACTGAGCAAACGCACCATAATTTATCCTAAGCTGCTAGCTGGGGAGATGTGTTTTTCCTCTAAAAGTTCATCACCTCGTACATGCTCTCATGTCTAACACACTAACTTTAGTACACTGGAATTTCCAAATCTGACAGAGAAGTGGGGTAGTCCAGGTAGACCAGATTAAGGTACTAGCTTGGAAGACATGACATTCAAGTTCCCTGCCCTGCCACCCTCTTCCAAAGACGACTGGTTTTCAAATCAAGAACTGCTTCTGACATTGCAGTATTTTAGATTAATCTTGTTCTTGCCTACACCCCATAGGAATGGGGCAGTTGAGAGCAGACTGTGTGAAATACCTGGGGGAAAGAGGGGAATATCAGCTTGTTATTGGCAGCTGTCTATCCCAAAGGCAACTCAGAAGTCGAAAAGCATCTGTCCTCATACACATGTACAGGATACAATCAGTCTGCACACAGGCAGTCAACCCAGCTTTTCTGCAAAGCATGTGCACACGGGCGCACTGACCATACTGCACCATCACAGTGTGACATGAGGCAACAGAGGTAGAGGTGTACAGTCCTTGGATACAGGTGGACTGAACGGGGTAGACTTGCCCAACTGACTTTTGGCATGTCTAAGTCACGGGTACAGAGATCACTAAAACGGATGTCTTAGGCTCTGCATGACCAAATCACATTCACACTGTTGTACTCCCCAGCTGTTGGACAGAGTTGAAACTACCCACTGGGTTAGACATTGTGACAGAATGCTTCTAATGGAATCAAAGAAAATGTTCGAAAAGTATTTTCCTCCCCCAAAGGTACGTAACTAAGCTCATTGCCATAGAGTTAATGGAGACAAAAACATGTAAACTGGCTAAAAAAGGGGTTGGAAAAACTCCCTTAGGAAAAATCTTCTGGTAATTAATAAACATAGTGGTCACAACAGAACCTCCAGCTCAAGTAGCTTCTAAAATGCGATTTCCCAGAAGCTGGGAGCCCAGCTCCCATTGTAGACCATTATGTTACTCTTCCTGAACTACCCACTGCTAGCCATGCTGGAGATAAGATACTGAGCTAACGGATTTTTCAGCTAAGGTGGCATGGTTGTCCCTGCATGCCTGGAGAGAAACTTACAAACTAAATATATGAAATGGACAGAGGGAGCAAGACAAAAACTTCCTGGTTTTAGTCCTTTTTTGAAATGGCAAACAGATGATTTCCAAAAGTTGCAGCTTGCTTACACTTCAGATCCTTGATGCTACGTGGAAAAAGCACAGATTGTGATCTGGTTATTGTCACACAAAGGTTTTCCTAATGAAAATGCCATGCTTGAAAGTGCTGCCGGCAACTCATACTTACATGCAGCCATGACATGTTCTGATGATAGTTCTCCTCCATGCCTGTGTTGCTCAGCACCTCGGGCTCAATGCTAGGTTCACTCGTGCTCCAAGGGCTCCCTTCTTAAAAAGAAAAATACCCAGAAGGTGGTTGTCTTTATGGCTCCCTATGTGCTTAAAGACTAGGGACAGCACTTGTAAGCCAGGCCAGCCTTGTGGGAACAGACCAGAATACACGGAATATGCCCCACTGTGTTTGCACACCCCTCCCCAGTCCTTGTATCAAGCTGGCTTGACAATTACAAGAACCATTTAGACTAGGCTTACGGGCCATCTTGTCAGTAGCAAACACTGCTCCCTCCCCACTTTTTTTTTAATGGAAGGGGAGAAGGTAAACAAAAAACATCAGAAACAAATTCTTTGCACCATTCAGATGCTGCAAATGGTTGGTGTAGTGATCTGCATTGACTGGGCTCTGTGGTTAAAAATGTCAATAAAAATCCAACCAGAAGTGGCATCCAACTGGAAATGCCAATGGGCAAAGTCACTGCTAATTGCCCATGGAAACTGCTAATGTCATGGGGATGAAAGGGGAAAAAAATCCTGGTTCTAGCACACTAGTTCTAAAGAACTCAGGTGAGGGAGAGATTGCTCTGGGAATGTCACTGATTCCTGTGTTTCCTCTAGCCATTCCATAACTATGGGCATCCTGTAATACTAATATTAATGCTGTTAAGAGATGGCTGGGGATGAACTCCAGTTAATACTTTCTTTCTCCTCTTTAAGTGAATTGTGACTGGCCAAAACAAACAGAACAGGCAATCTCACTCTCCATGTTCACCTACTGAAGCATCTTTTGGGCAACATAAAAATGACCATTAAGCTTGGGAATTTATTTCAGCTCCAAATGTACCCAAACCATAGTTTTTGGTTAACACCCCTTGCAGAGGGAGCCCCTTTAGTTCAACTGTGACGGAGATCTCTCATGGCAGGATGCACATTTGTTTTCCATAAGATAAATATATGAGGATCCATCTTTCAAAGACTAAGGCAGGCATCTGTAAACTGTAAAAATACATGTGTATGCCAATATGCAGAAACATAGTGTGTAGCATGTACATGTTATGTTCTACATATAGGAATATACATATTACATGTCACAACATGCCTGTGGCATCATAAGCTACATAGAATATGAAGTGCATGTCCATACATATATATATCTCCTATCTGTTAATATGGACAATAAAATATCATATATGCATATGTCCTCACGTATTCATTGTATCATGTGATTTAGTGGTGCGTGTGTATGTGCATATACACACATGCATGTGCTCCCCTAAAGACAGCATGCATTTAGCTGGCAGGCACCAGCATTCCAAGAGCTCATGCTCTAACACAGAACTCTGAATTGATAACCAGTGTGCGGAGCCAACTCTGCACCCAGGATTTGAACCATGTTCCTCCCATGCCCTAGCTCAGGTAGTCCCTGAAGAGGACTCTAGGTTTTTCCTAGCCTGCTGGGGTGGGGTCCTCTTGTCATTTCTAGCTCTGCTGCAATCACATGCAGAGTTTAGGTCCTGCCTATTGCTCCCTCCCTTTCCACCCACTCATCTAAGTTACCTATATCAGTGACAGTGTCCCTGCTGTGGGACAGCTGCAGCTCCTCATTCTCAGACTCTGAGTCCTGCCGTGATAACTTGGTGCTCTTTAGGCTGCCGGCCCGGCGAATGCTGGAAAGGGAACCCCCCTTCTTCACCCGGAAACTGCGGGTTCCTTTAATCTGGAGCAAGCGGGAGCCTCCTATCCTGATCTTCCTGCTGGGAACTGTATTAAAAGAATAAAAGAGGACTTTTTTCCCCTTAATTTTTCCCCATTTAAAAAAGAAATATATCCTGGCCCTCCCCTCCCTCCCAACCCTTTGCTGCCAGCCTGTATTGCAGCATCTTTTCTTCTACCAAGAAATGTGGGGCCAGAGGCTCCATCCAAAGCCACCGCCAATGCAGTTCTGTCAATCAGGCAGTAAAGATGCTTTATGGAAATACGTTCAGCACCTCCTTTCCTGGAGACCTGGTACATCACCTCAGGCCTTGCTAGTATTTGGAATTGGCCCTTGTTCAATCACCAGCAAGTAGAGTCAGCTGCTCTAACAGAAACCCAAAATGTGGACAAGGAAAACCTACGTTTCACACCAATTTGAATAAATTCCTACCAGGAAACAGGATCTGCCCATTGGATGTAAATTGCGTTTTTCTTTGCCAGCCCCTGGGGTCTGCATTAGTGCAGAATCACCTCTTGCTAGGAAGAGATGGCTGAATCCCTAGCATGAACAAGGCACCATCAACAAACTTATTTTCCTGTGAGTCTGGTTCTGTAAACCTCACTGAGCTCTGCAGTAGGATCAATTATTTACTCATGCAGCACATGTGACTGCAGAAGGGTAGTCTGCTTCATGAGGTTAGCACACAAGGCTTCTTTGAAGTAACATTTGCATAAATCCGTGTCTCTGCATGTTACTCTTCATCATTAGAATGCTTTGGAGGAAACCGGAGCATGTAGATCCTCTCCTTCAGACAAATCAGCAGCTTTCAGGCATTAACAACATCCATTGACACTCTGCATTTTTGATGAGCACAGACATGAAATGGTTCAATGTTCAAAGCACTGTCTGCGCTTTCATTCTCCTCTTAGTTCAAAGGCAGTACATGGCAGTATGTCAGTCCAAATGTTGCAACACTCAGTCATTTTACTGCAGATCTAATCAGGCAAGGCCATGTGTGATAGATTACCTTTTGGTGTGTTGTTGAAAATGAACAGGATACAGCTTTTTAGATACCATGGGTAAGCAGAAATAATTTAATCGAATTGTATTTTGGCTTCAGGAAAAAAAATCAAACACACCTTTACTCCTGAGAATGCCCCTAATTCCTCCAGAACCCAATTCCCACTCCCACTTCCAGTGGCTAACATCCTGGCCAAAGACTGCTGGATAGGTTTTGAGAGCTACTTCTCAGTCCTCACAAATCATCTGGGCAAATCACTGTTGAGTGACCAGAGAATCTCCCTCCAAGCGACTATGCTGAGTACCTTAGCAATCACTACTTATAACTGCATTTCATGAAGTCTGCAGAATCCCATTTTAGCACTCAAATAGTACATATGATCCTCTGAGAACCTGCGTCTGTCTAGCTTTAGTGTCTGTATTTCAGACCTACCTGGAGTAGATTCTATACAGTAAACTCGTAGCTTTTGGATAGCTGTTAAGCCACACCTGGGGTGAGCAATGAGAGCAAAGTTTTTAACACTCAGGAAAAAAATGAAAGGAAACAGATTAGTACTCATCAAAGAGGTTGAGATACAGAAACCTGTCACTGCAGGCGAGAACAATTTAGTTATATTCACAGAACAGCATTTTCTTATCTAGAAAGTGTAGATTACAAAAGATGCCTTTGCATCTGTTATGTATGGCCCAGGTGGATCCCCAGAAGAATATGCTGTGGCCAGAGAAAATAACATAATCATTTCAATTTTAACACATAACATTATCTTGCATTTATTTAGCTTCCAAAATACTGCAAATACAATTTTGATAGGGTATATTGTGATTTAGCCTTCCTACCATATCACTTTTCCCATCTCTAAACGTAGTAAAGAGGCAGCATTAGCAAAAGAATACTACATGACAGCTTAGGGGAAAGGGAGAAACGGGAAAAAAACCCCAACTGAAAATGCAGGGAAAAATGTAGTTTAACAGAGTCAAGGACGCAGACAGTTAATACTGTCTTTGCAAAAATAACTCAGTTCTACATTATTCCTGTAGCATAGCAACACATGAAAGAAAACCTAAGTCAGCATTGTCTCTATAGTTAGAGACTGGCCACCAGCATTTTCCAGCAGAACTGCATGCCTGTAGGCATTCTCTGACTCAGGTTGCATCCCAGTGGATAGGACTGTTGCCTGAGAGGCTGAAAAGTGGTTTTGCATAATTGTCATAACTATCTTCAAAAAAAAAACCCCACACCAAAACCAAGTTTTCCTCATCTAAATAGTTAGAGACATCTTACCCCACTGATCCTAGACTCTCAGACAGACCATAAGGCTGTGTGCTTCTATGGGCTGCCAATATGCCAAGAGTACAAAAAAACGAGGTGAAGCACGAATTTATTCACCTCACCTTTCTTAGGTGGATACTTAGCTATCTTCACAGAAGTAACTGTCCCACCTGACACACAATTTTGGAGGTGGTTTTATACCATGTAAGTCTTGGAAATAGGTCTAATATTTTCTCTAGTAACTGTGGCAGGGTCACAGCTGAAGACAACACAGACTTTATCCAAAGCCCCCTGAAGTCAATAAAAGCTCCTCTGAATCATTAATACACATTACAGTTCCTACAGGATAACAGCCAGAGACTCCATCCTTTTTAAACAATCATCAAACATTTATCCTTTTCAAACAATCATGAAAATTATCATTCAAACATCTGCACTTCTATATGGCTATTATGAGACAGAATGTAAACAGTTCTAGAAAACTTATTAGAGGGAGAATCATTTACAGGTAACTGGCAGTTTAGCCTCTAATTGCAAATACGCATGATGACTGTACATTGTATTGCAACACTTGTACCATCAGACAGTATGTGAGTTTTGCATGAGATGGCTCAAAAATGGAAACAATCTGCTGTTCTCAGCAAACACAGTGAGCTTGAAGTTTGCTTCTACAGTATATTGGTAACATTAATCTGCTAGCCATCAAAAGCCACATAGGTGTGTGTTTTTCATGTGGTAGCAAAGAATTCAAGAGATCAAGTGATCAACCACTAATTCTGTGAGATGCCATGACTTCCAAACCAGTACAGATTTTCACAGAAAGATCCTGGTCTTCCCCGCTATCTGTGGTTTTCCCAAAATGAGAAATTGTAATCAGAATAAAAAACAAACAAGAACACTTTTGATCTTTATTTTTTAAGTAAATCAAATAGTGATGCTTCTCTCAGCATACCACTGAGACACAGTTTCAAACAAGGCATTCTCCTTTTTAGATATCTTGCAATGCTCTGAATTGTTTTCAGTCTTAGCAGTGTTTTATAAAATTTAACATCTTTGCTTCTCACATTTGTTATATTGAACCTCAGAGGCCAGAAGCATCTCAGAAATGATTCAAAGCCACGTGACTCCATGGCCGCCTGCTTTTCAACACAGTCTATGCAAATGAAAACATAAAATCAAGCGCCACTTCACAAGCCCTGAGAACACAAAAGCCTGATACTGCTGACAAACCTTTTTTCTCCTCGAAACCAGCCTCAGATTTGAGGGTGTGGCTGCTGCTGTGCAGGGAATCCTTTGAATCTTCATTTTCATCCAGAACCCCAGCAAAGCTGATTTTTCTTTCATACCTGTGCCGGTCCATCTCAGGGTCCAAACGCAGCCTGCAGCTCTCCAGATCCTGTAGCAGAATGTAGACCACACAGATGTGCCAGCAGTATGGCCCCCCATGCTTTTCACTGCAACCGTAAAGGCTTCAGGAAGAACTGCTTCAGATGGGAATTTATTTCTATCACACAGTTCTCCATCAGCCCTGACACTTTCTAATCCAACTACTCTATGGGCTTGTAGCACACTGACCCACACTGTAAATGCCTCCCGGATGAAAGAGTACCAGGTGTTAACACACATTTCTTGTTAACACTGCTGAGTAAGTTGGTACCATGTCTGCAGGCTCATGAGGGGGAAAACACGTAAATGGTGCCTAATGGATAGGTGACAATATAACGTGGCTGTTGCCCAAGGTGCTGGGTGGATGGTTAGGTCTCTACTCCAAAAGGCTCCCTGTATGCACTGCCACTGTACTCATCAGAGGAAGAAAAGCTGAGAGAAAGCTAGCTGACAGTGTGACAGTCATGACAGCATGGCCCAGAGCAAGCTTTCTGTGTGTAGATCAGGCTGAAAGGACACAGCAGAAAACAAGAAGTAATAAAGATGTTGGTTGTACTGAAGTTCTGGAAAATAAACAACATTGCACCAGAGAAAAAGCTAGTTTGCACCATCATTTTCTCCTATGGCACCATTTGTGCCACGTACTAGCTACCAATTTGGGCCAAAAAAGCAAAAGTCCTAAGATTCCACATGCAATTATCATCCACTTTCACTAACTACAACTAGAAAAAGGAAAGGAAGACTGTGAACACCCACACTGGCAAACACAGTTAAAATGCTGGGCTCTTTAAGAATATCATCTGTGCCTTTTGAAATCATCAGCTTTAAGATCTCTCAACTCAAATGTAACTAGCTGAAATCTAAGATGACACAAAGCTCCTTGCTGTGAGTTAACAGCTGATAGATGTGAATGATAACATTACTGAAATTATCCAAAGTAGTAATTCCGGATAAAATTCTGTAGGCTTAAGAGATCTCATACTTGAATTTGCATACAAAACTCCTGTAGAAGTTACTGGGAGCTACCTGGGTAGTGACAAAGTCTGCTACTCTAAGAGCTGGTTTGGGGAGCAAAAAAAAAAGGTCTTCTCAAACACATGTTCTAGACTGAGCTGTGCTGAAACAGATTAACTAGCCTATCTAACACCAGCCAAAGGTCCCAAACCATCTGCAGTCAGCTTTGCATCTGCAGGGGAAATTATCATAAATGATTGTCAGAAAAGCTAACAGTTGATTACCATAAGGGAAATATTTTGACTTTGCTCAGTAACAAAACCTGAGATATAAAAAGGTGGGTTCCTAAAGTAATGATTTGTAGTATCTCTAGCATTGAAAACTTCCATGTAAAAAGTTTAAAACATATCTAACACAGTTTAGGATATGAAACAAAGGCTAAAGCATTTCAGGATAAAAATCGGTGATGAAATCTGTCTGAATTACAGCAGCTTCACAAACTAGCATGCATAAGCTGAGTCACAATAGCAGTACAGGTATATTCTTAGGGCATGGTCAGAGTTCCCCTCCCTGGAGTATTTAAACACAGTATTCCTCCCAGCTGTTTGCCAACATGCTTACACTGGAAATTGCTGCCCCCACAAAATAGCCAACAGAATGAAATACATACTCTTAGCACACAGTTAATCTGACTTTATCTATCTTCAGCAACTGTCAAGCCAAAACAAATGACTTTCCACCACAGCAAATTACAAGTTCCAGTTCTCTGGCTCTACTGTGTCAGTAGCAGGCTCCAGGTGAATGTATTCATCACTCTCAGGCATTTGCAAAGCGAGCTTGTATCTACTCCACCAGCTTCAGTAAAAGGCTTTGATTGAAACTTCAGGCAGGAATG